TTTGGGTCCTACTGCCATTGAGCAGAATCCAGAGCCACTGAGCGGCCAACAGCTGCCATCGTCCACCCTGTCTGCCCCGCACAGGCTGTTGGCAGAACGTGGGGACCCTTTACTCCCTGGCAGTGAAGGAGGGGGCAGCAGGCATCCCTTGAACTCCAGAAAGCCCACCCACCAGTACTCCTAGCCTGGTCCCATCAGCAGGGGACTCAGCCCCAAGTCTGCTGTAGCCCTGCCCTTGGGAGTGAGGAGCCAGCTCTCCCCCAGGGCCTCTGAAGTGAGGACACGCTGGGAGGCCACAGAGGCGGCGGGGTGTAGGGCATGGATCGAGCACTGCTCAGCTGCCTGGCTAGCGGCTTCAGCTCCGCCACGAGCTAGGCCCCTCCCCGCCCACGGTGTTGCCTGGCAACAGCAAGGGAAGTACTCGCTCCCACCCAGGACTCCACCCTGGAGGCATTCTGAAGGCAGCTGGGCCTGCATCTACCCGAGCCGTGATTGCTGGACTTCAGGGGAGTTGGGAGCGGCCCGGCCTTCTCTGGGCAGTTGCCCGGCCAGCGGCTGGGTGAGGGCAGGACAGGACGGGGCAGTCCTCTCTGCCCGAAGACCGCACGTGCGGGGCGGAAGCGCAAGCCCACGCCCTGCCCAAACCTGCGCAGGCAGCCGCAAGAGACAGGAGGCAGACACAGGGGGCGGCGGGCAGGGAAGGCTGAACTGGGGGCCAAGGAAGGAGAGCCCACGATGGCAGAGTGTGGAGCGAACACGCGAGGCTCAGGAGCTCCAGCCCCGTCCGCACTCAGTGCCTGCGCTGTCCAGGTGAATACGGGCGCCCGCTGCCCGGCTCTGCCCATGTGTAGAAGGCACGACAACGTGAGTTAGGACCCCCTGTCCTGAATACTGGTTAGAGCCAGCAACCGTTTATTGAAAGTAGCAATAGCCCAGGGGTGCCACCTTCAGGCCTGGATGTGACTCTTGGCGCTGAAGGCCAGGTAGTAGATCACTAGGCCGATGGCTGCAGCCAACACCTCGGTAGAGACCCAGGGCCCATTCCAGGTGCCCTGCAAGAAAGGAGACCAAAGCCAGCTCAGGGGAGAGCTGGGCGGGGAGCCAGCCAGCCCCAGTCACTCTCCCCCTAGGGCACGAGGGCACGCTCAAAAAGGGCGAGGCTTGCTGTGTGCTCCCTGCTCTCCCAGACACCAGGCAGCCTCTTCAGCCCACTCACCCGATGGTCCACACTGACTGTGAATAGGGGCGGGATGACGGAAATGTCCTCGTTATTTCTCTGAGCCTGCAAGGGAGATGCTGGGGTCAGGGGTGCTGCCAGGTGGGGTGGGGAGAGGTTGGACAGGCAGTAACGTTGGCCCGAGTCATGGAAGAGAGGAGAACCGGGCAAGAGAGGAGCATGGGAGGTGTAGTGACAGGTGGGGCGAGTGGTCAGGAAGGTGCCCACCCGGCCGTTCTGCTCTGCGAAAGCGAGGCCCCTACTGGCCTGGCGCTTCGGTGAGAAGGGGCTGCAGGGTGGAGACGGCTGTGGAAGTGGGGGGTGCTCTCCCTCCTGGAGGCCTGGGAGGGGCTCCAGGTGACGGACCCTCACCTTCCTCAGGAGGCTGTAGGACTCCTCATCGAAGAATCTGACCTCGTAGGTACCTGCGTGGGCGCTCTTGTGGTCTAGGCTCCAGGATACCTGGGTTGGGGATGTTTGGCAGGGGTGGGTGCAGTGGACAGTACCGCCACCAGCCGCCCGCGTCACAGAACCTCAATCCTCCTCCACTGGGCCGCCCCTAGGGCTTCAAAGTCATGCCAGGGAGCAGGTGGCCTCCCCTCAAAATGACAAGTATAGCATCCCTTACCTGATAACGCCCCACATCCTGGCCCCGGGTGACGGGAAATTGTTTTCCACTGACATCAGCATAAAGAGCCATGTTCTGGGAGAGGGAATAAAGAGAGTCACCTTCTCCCCTCTCCGGCGCTCAGCAGAAGCCCCGCTGTGCTGCCCACAGCAGCCCCCATGGCCTATGGGCAGGGAGCACCACGGAGGTAGCCTGCCACAACCCAGGGCCGTGCCACGAAGCCAACACCCACCGATGCCGTTACTGCTTCTCTGCATGTCTCCCCTGGGGGGGGCACACACCCCCCGTGGCCTAGCCTCCCTAACCCACAGCAAGCCTGTTAACTGTGAACAGAGGCAGGATGACTAAAGTGTACTCGTAATGCCTCTGAGTCTGGAAGCGGGTGTTGGGGTCAGGGGCTGCCCAGTGAGCCACCCAAGGAATGTTGTACCCGGACCAGAAGGGCCACGCCTTGGCAGGCAGCAACCAGAAAAGGGGTACAGGAGCCTGGGGGCTAAACTCCTGCGGTTTCTCACTTCAGCGTATGCTCTCATCAGGCACAGCAAGACGTCTACCTACGTTTTTGCACCTAGGCAGAGCAGATTAGGAAAATGTTCTTTTAACACCTGCTTTAAACAGTCTGGCCTGGCTGTACCCTGACCTCTCTCTCCTATACCTGTAAGTCAAAATCCTCATTCTCTCTGTCTGCATGGGTACATGGGTCTGACCCCATCAACTGCCAGTGAGGAACTGATGCCCCAGGTCCCAGGCTCACTGCCTGCCTCTTGCCCCAGCACCTGCTGGCTGAAACCCCCACTGCCTCACCTGGACCCTGTTCTTGCACGTCAGGGAGATCTCCACGATGAAAACAGTCTCAGTGGAAATGACGGCATCCGAGGTGGTGTAGTAGGAAGGGGTGATCTGGGGCTCCACGCAGGCTTCTGCTGTGGGGAGGAGGTAGACATGTCTACGTTGAGCCCAACTTGTATGTGCTGGGCTAGGGGGCAGAAGGGACCACCCAGACCCACTTCCCAGACCTTGTCAGCTGACACACAGAGCCCTTTGCAACCTGTCTGGTGGGCTGTGGGAGACAGATAAAAATGCTTAGTTGGAAATGCAGCAGTAAGGGGGGCGGATAGGGTGGGATGGCCCTGAAGGCAGGCTGGGGATGTGGGATGGATAGAAAGGCTTTGTATAGGTGGAACCTAAACGTGAGGGCAAAAGAGCAGGGGAGAGAGAGGGAGGGAGGGAGAGAGATACAAAAAGTGTGTTTATTGGGGGAAAGGGCAGCAGCTAGATGGATTCACTGCACAACTGGTGCCTGTGCCTGCACCTGCGGACAGGGAAGCCCTGCAATGATTTGGGGCTCCAGCCTGCCTTGGAGCACCCCGCAAGTCCAGGGGGCAGATGGACTTCAATTCAGAAACATGCATGGCCCTGGACAGTTTGCTGCATGTGGACTGGAGATGAAGGGGTCTCTGCCTCCAGCCACAGTTGACAGAAGGCCAAGACTGGACCCAGCACTGCCCAAGGGAAGGAAATGGGCACAGCTTGTCCCCTTTAACAGGGCTGCCTGGAGAGGAAGGACGCCGTGCCTCTGCCACCTCCATGCTGCTAGAGGCCTAACTCCTACAGGTTCTACGGAAGGCACTGCCTAAATCACAGGGTGCCAAGCAGATGCTACCAGTGGGAAGCTGCTCTCCGGATGTGAGCTGGCACAGCCATGCATTAGACTGAGACAGAGAAGCTTTGGGTCTGAGCAGCAGGAGGAAGATGCCTAGGAACATCAGTGGGGGGTGGTTCTCAGGAGCCACGTCTGTGTCCCACTAAGCTTGGCCGTTTTCCTACGGACCCTGTGGAGCACCAAAGGGTTTTACAGCCAGGTTTGTCCTTTCCAGACATCACTGGCTACACCATGGGTAATTCCCAGGGAGTAGGTGAGGAGGGTGCAGGCAGGAAAGGCAGTTAGGCTGATGAAACACTCCAGGCACCAGAGGCTCTGACCTGAGCAGGGCAGGTAAAGTGAACGTGTAGAAGGCATCCCGGACCCAGTCTAGGCTCCCCAAGCGTAGCGCTGGTTCTGGCAAGGAGCTTCACCTAAACACACTTCTGGACTCCAGTTTGAGCTCAACCCTGCCACCAGGTGTTAAGAATCTCTCAAGAATGTTCACTGATCTGACTGTGGCTCGGCTCTGCTGAAAAGTCCCTTAAGAATACACCAGGGCCTTAGGTAAAAAGTCAACAGTCCGGCCTGGCACCCAAGCCCTCCGCCCCTCCCAACCCCTTTTACCTTTTTTCCCCTCTTCTGCTGCTCCTATCTAACTTGCCCACGCTCATGGTCCCTCTGCCTGGCACATCTCTGCTTCCTCTCTTCACTTACAGCTCCCTGCCTGGGGAGGCCTGGTCCCACCTCACCGGGTCGGGTGGCTCCTCTCCCACCAGTCTACTTTCTCACTCCGGTCGCCCTGCGCTGCAGAGTTTTGCTCTTGTCCGACCCCCGCTCCGAGACTGGGAGCTCCGGGAGGGGAGCAGGGCCGTGTGTCACTTTCCCTGCTGGAGCTGGGAAGCGGGCGCACGGGGCAGGCTCTGGGACTCTTCCTCGCGGGAGCAGACGGGGGGGAAGCTTTGGCTGTTTCTTCCAGAAGCCTGGCTGCTGGGTAAACGTGTGTGGTGCAAGAGCGCGTGGTGGCCTCGGTCGCAGCGCCCCGAGGCCACCTGCCTCTCGGAGGAAGAAGGCCCAGAACCCTGCTTCGCCCGCACCCCTCCTCCCCCCACGCACCACCAGTCGTGGGAGAGAGGCTCGCCAGAAAGGAGCTCCGGCCAGGCCGCTACCTGAGCAGCAGGAGAGGCTGGACAGCAGGAGTAGCGCCAGGGCGCCGAGAGATGCCAGCGCCGCCATCGCCTCTTCTCTACCGAGGGAAAAAGAGAGCGACTCCCCTGAGCACGAGGGGCAGACGAGGAAGCGCGTCGCGTAAGCAGCAGTGGCAGCCAATCAGGCACCGGCGGGCCGGGCGGGCCTGTGACGTTGCTGGCGGCACTGACGTGTCCCCTCCCCAGGCCAGAGGCCCAGGTGGCCGCCCCATCAAGATGGCGGCGGCGGCGGCGGCGGCGGAAAGGGGCGTGGGAACCGGCGCGGCCGTGCGCGTGCGCACTGCTGGGTCCGTGCCCACTTCCGGCACTTCGCGCCCATCCTAACTCTCGCGAGAGAGGTGTCTGCGTGTCTGAACGAGCGGCTGCTCTCACTTTCCGTCATGGCGCTGAAGGTGGCAGCGGTCGTCGGCGGCGCTGCGAAGGCGGTGCTCAGACCGGCCCTCCTTTGCCGCCCTTGGGAGGTGAGAAGGGGCAGCGGTCCGCGGGGACAGCCGCAGCGCTTGCTCGGCGGGTCCGGAGACCGCTGGCTTGCAGCTTGTTTTGGAGCCCGATTGGCTGTGGGCCGCGCGAGGGGCGGGGAGAGGGCTACGCGCCGGAGTTGATTGGCTGTTTTCTCCGCTGTCAGTGAGGGGCTTGGGTGAAGTTGGCCCTTGTCCGGCTTCCCCAAGGGTCTGCATCTTGGGTGGGCGGGGGGAGCTCCGGACAAGCGGGGAGAGTGGGCAGCAGCGGGCCGAGTGTCACCTCCCTAGTGTCATGGTGGGAGCCCTCCTGAGGCGGTCACGTGTCCCGGCCCCCCTTGTTCTTGCCGCCTTAGGAATCCGGTCCCCAGCCCCAGTTCGTCCTCGGGTTTTTTTTGTTGCGGACCGCCTTGTCACTTGTCCCAGTGGAGTTGGAGAACCAGATTTTGCCAGCACCCCCGATACCACACCCCACCCCCGGACATTTTTATAGCCCCAGATGTCTTTTCCCCGCAGCCTTCTGGAATGGGAGAGAGCTAGATTTTCTGAGACTGATGAGGTGGGAGGCCGTGGGGGCTTTGCTTCCTCAGTTCTCCGTTTAGGATCTTGTTTATTCAGGTCTCATTCCTCTTTCTTTACACACTTAGGCAAGGATAATTTAGTCCCTGGGTGGATCGGAAGCCTTCCGAAGCATCAGAGAGCCGGGACTGGCTCTAGGGTCAAGAGGTATGACCTCCAGGCCTAGCTGCCCCTACTGATCCACAGTATGGCCACCCTCCTGTCTCTGGGCTCCAGTTTCCCCTCTGTCTCAAAGGATCTAGCCAACCCTGACCTTCCAGAATCCTGTGAGTTTGCTGACACTCCTTGTGGATGCATCTGATATGCTTCTGCCCTCTGACCCCTCAGGAAAGCAACCCTGTGGCAGCTTATACTTTATGAAATTCTGATTTCTCCAAACTTGCTGATGAGGGGCTTTCCAGAGGCCTGGCGGTTCTGGCAGCTAGGCTCCCATGGGGTCTTGGTGAAGACATTTGTCTCCTCCCTGACCTCTCCTGTGTGTGCTTGTGTCCATGTTGGGGGTGGGGGTGGGGGCAGGGGACACTTGGTAGCTGGGCAGTGCCTTGCCCTGAGACTGGTTGTCCTGGGTATGGGAAGCTTTAGAGATGAACCCCAGGTCTTTGGTCCCACCATTTGGGGTCTTGTGGGAAAATATGCAGCCACCATTGGTACTTGATCTAACAGAACATGCTAAAGAAAGAAGTCTCACTAAGATTTGGAGTGTGGGAATCCTTTGGCAGGAACACATACCACCCTGGACTCCTCTCTTTCTGTGGCACTATCAAAGGATGACTGACAGTCCATCCTCCTGCTTAATGAATGAGCAGTAGGCCTGTGCATGTATCCCATCCTGCCTTAAACTGGGCTTCTTTGATGGGTGGCTTCACAGGGCAGCGTGGGTGTGAGGCAGAACCCGTGTAGCCCCCTGAAGGAAGAACGTGCCTGTATCTGTCCAGAGCAAGGTAGGGAAGTAAGTCTGTCTTGAGAGCTCTCTGGGTCTTTGGCTAAAGCCTGAAGAAACTCTAGTATGGGGACCAGGCGAAGGAAAGGTTCAGCTCAGGTGGTGATGTGATCCAAGGGAGGGGGGGCGGGGGTGGTTGCCCAGATAGAGAGCTAGGTGCAGGTGGTGGCTCACCACCATGGCTGAGTTACTTGCCTAATGCCAGTGGACTCCCAGGAGGAATTACTGCTGGGAGCCATAGGGGTCTACCCAGTGCCGAACACCGGCCTAAGGAGCTGGTGGGGTGAAGAGGTGGGTGTGCCCTGTTGGGAACCAAATGGCTTGCTGCATCCTCCCAGCAGCCACAAAAAGTGGGCATCTCTATTCCATGGGTTTCAGGTGAGGACAGGAAGCTCAGCAAGGTTAAGCTGTTTGTTATCTAAAATAGTGGATGGTGGATTTGGACCGAGGCCTCCTTGGCCCCCAAACCCACCATCCCTTCTTCCATTTTCTGATGTGCTCATTAATTTGGGAAGTGTTTCTTATGTCCAAGCTCTGGACCAGGCATTCTGCTAGGTCTTGGGATGACAGTAAGGAGCTGGTCAGACATGGCTTCCACTCTTAGGAGTTTAGGAGTTGGGGAGGGAGCAAGGCAGTTGCTAGGGACAGCCTAGGGAGATTGTGGTTGGTGGGGGAGGGAGCAGGTAGGGCTTTGGGAACCCAGGGGGACCTACAGTTCCACAGCCTTTAGGCATCAGGGAAGGCTTCCTGGAAGAAGCCTCCTTCCACAAGTCGTATCAAGAGCCTACAAATAAAATGAATTCAGATACTGACAAGTGCTGGAAAGAAAAATAGGAAAGCTGTCAAGTGTGCCTGTTGCTGCAGATCCAGGGACCACATCGGATGAGCTGATACCTGGAGCCTTTTGTCCTAGTAGTCACTCCCTTTCTGGCCCCTGGCTTGGGCGGGGCGGGTGACCAGCACACCAGTGCTGCCAGAGCTCGTGCAGGTGGGTGCCTCATGAATACCAGCCAGGGAGACGCCAGGAGGTAGTCAGTCTCTGCCTGAGCTTTCTAGATTTCTCGCAGGAAGGCATGGCTCTTTGCAGAATGGCCACAGTGACTATGCTATTGCCTGGAACACTCTGCTGCTGTCCCAGTAGGCAAGTGGCAGGGCACCTCCAAGTGACGAAAAGGCCCTTGGTTCTGTCCCTTCCTATTTGGATTGAGGGACACCTGGATGTGTTCCCAGGTGGGGCATAGCAGGGAGGAAAGTGTAAGGACCCGTAGCCCCACTGCAGTAGGGCCTGGGATACAAGCTTCTACCTCCAGGATAATGTGGGGACTCTAGATGGATCACTTCTCAACACCTGTCCCCTTTGGCTCAGATGGCTTTTACTCCGAAGCTGTCAGACATGGCTTTGGTGTGGCCAAACGTGGCTGTTTCTGAGTTAGGGGGTTGGGGACACTCATCTCCCATGTAGGCCACGAAGCAGTTTTGCAATCCTTTATGAAAGCCTTCTAAGAGATTGGAGTCTCTTATTCTTTTTTTTTTTTTTTAAGACTTTATTTATTTGTTTGACAGAGCGCGCGCATGCGCAAGCAGGGGGAGTGGGAGAGCGAGAAGCAGACTCCCCACTGAGCAGGGAGCTCGATGTGGGGCCCTATCCCAGGAGCCTGGGATCATGACCTGAGCCGAAGGCAGTTGCTTAACCAACTGAGCCACCCAGGCGCCCCAGGAGTCTGTTATTCTTGTAAAAAATGGTTGGGTTTTCCGTGGGTTTGCTCTGGACTTGTGATTCTGGAGGGCTGTTCCCTGCAGTGCCAACAATGATTGTCTCTGGGTGGACAGGGGCTGGGTGCTCTCTTTTTCTCCTGATCTCTGTGTCAGGACGGTATGCTGCTTTTGCAATAAGGAAGAGAAGATATTAAAAATGGTAAAATGATTGTCTTGATGGCCCTGTGGTTGGTTATAATGATTTCCCAATTGTGCCGCGTTTACTGTGCCAACTTCTCCGTGTTATAGACCACAAACATCACTGAGCAGGAATAATTGGCTGAAAAAGAATCAAACAGCAAAGGAGGGGGAGGGAGACAAACATTTCTTCAACCACTGACTGTGGGGCTGAAGGCCCCATAAAGGGTTGCGGCGCCCCTCCGTGGTGCTTTGACCGGCTGCTCCTCGGGGAACGGAGGCTCTGGAGCCATTTGTGTGGGCGCGTACTCTGTGCTAGTCCCCAGATGGTGGAGGTGAGGGGATGACACGTGGCACCTGTCTGGGTATGGTCAGGGGATGGTCCCTCTCCCCTGCCAAGACTTCAGCTGGCCTTTGCCAAATTGGCTTTCCGGGCTGGACAACAACTGCTGGCATCTGGGTTCTCTTTGCCAGGTTCTCAGTGCCCATGAGGCCCCCCGGAGGAGCGTCTCAGTAAGTTCCTGCCGGAGTGTTGCGTGCATGTGTCTGTGTGTGCTCGCACGTGTGTATACACATGTTTACGCATGTATGCCCCGTCTGTGCACGTGTATGTGTGAGCAGGTGTGTGCGTAGAGGCGTGTATGTGTGTGCTGTGCCTTTGTTCCCTGGCCCTCCATGTCCTTCCCTCTGAGGCATGGTCTCCAGAGGTAGCCCACCCCTCCTCCTTACCCGAACTGTACTACACAGTATCCCCAGGGAAACGGCCCCGTTCCCTGGGCACAGCCTTGTTCCTCCAACCTTGGCTGATTGGTGTCTTCTTCCTTCCTGTTCCCTCTCTAGCAACAAACAATTGTAAGTATTTTTCTCATCTGCCTGTTAAGTTTTGGGGCTTTTAGCTGCTTTGGGATTGACCCAAGTCCAGGCGGGGGTGGGGACTGCTTCTGCTGCTGCCCTTCTGAACAAGGAGCCCCCATGAGCAGCCCTGTCTGGGGTGGGGTGGGGCAGGTGGGGTAAGATACCCCGAGCTGGCACCTCATGATTGGCTGGCCCATTGGGCCCACTTTCACCCTCCCCTCCTTCCAGCCTCCGTCGGCTAAGTATGGTGGGCGGCACACAGTGACCATGATCCCGGGGGATGGCATCGGGCCAGAGCTCATGTTGCATGTCAAGTCTGTGTTCAGGTACACAGCCCCTGGGCCCACCTCCTGTACCCCTAGGGGAGGTTGTACCCCAGGCCCACCTGGGGGGGGATGGCTTGAGAACTGTGCCGAGAGGGGCAGTGAGCCCAGAAGCCCACTGGCTGGGGCTTCGCCTGAGCACCCAGTGAGCCAGTGGCAGGAGAGCTGTACGCCCAGGCTTTTCGTCCCTGTGCCTATGATCCTGTCAGGCTGGCCTGGGCATGGGGAAGGTGCCACCAGTCCTGCTAACGGTTGTAGAGTTCAGGCGTCTCTCCATTAGTTGGCGCAGGTGGGCCCAGTCTCCTCTCAGCCAGAGCCAGGTCAGGGTGGGCGGCAGTGGAGAGGCCTCTGCACCCAGTGGTCCAGGCAGGCTTCCTAGAGGACGCATGGGGGGCGCCTGGGGCCAGCCACCTTGACCCAGTTCTGCCCCAGGCACGCATGTGTGCCGGTGGACTTTGAAGAGGTACACGTGAGCTCCAATGCTGATGAAGAGGACATCCGCAACGCCATCATGGCCATCCGTCGGAACCGTGTGGCCCTGAAGGGTGAGTTCGGGGGGCCAGGATGGGACACCATGCACGATTCCTCTCACTTCCAAGCTGATGCTTGTCCCTGGGGCCGTCCAACTGTGACTTCAGGGCTTTTCTGGCTAGGGAGGACCCTTGTGCTTGGAGAGTGAATAGAAGCTTCTGGGGTCCTGTCCGCGCTGCGATTCTGTGATAGACTCTGTGGGAGCCTGTTCAGTAAAGGGCTTCCTCCCACTCCCTTCTCTCCTGGGGCAGCCCCTCTGCTGGGGTCAGCTTTGACCCTCAGAACCTTTTCCATAAACCAGATGTCACAGAGATGCAGTTTTTGCCCTTCACCCGCTGCCTTGGCTCCAGCCAGCACAACTGTGGGTGTCGCAGACAGGAATTTTAGCCCTTCCTGAGTTTGCCGTGGTTTGGTACGCGTTCTTAAACTCTTTGTATTACTCATTTTGTAAACTAGAGCCCATCACCTGCTCTGTGTGAGCAAAGCTGAATCCAGCTTGAGCCCCAGGCCCCGGCAGTCCGGAGGAGGGGCTGACGTGGCAACTGCAAGGTGCCTAAGACACTGGGCAAAGGCAGTGTAGGCAGGGTGTGACTCGGAGGGGGTGATGGCCCCAGGGGGCCCTGAGAAAAGCCTGCTCTACTTGGCACTCTCTGACGGACTGCCTTTTCCCGGCGACTGCTGGCCCCCTGCTGCTCCTCTTCTTTTTGCCCTGGGTGCAGCCCAGGCCAAGCTCTAGTGTTTCCCAGATGGCCCCCACCTGCCCCTGAGCTGGGGCTCAGGTGGCACCTCGACGTGGGGCCTAACAGTGACGCTGGCCAAGGTCACATTGCTGGCGCCAGCCTGGCTAGCCAGCCTGTTAGTAAGCAGGAGTGGTCACTTTCTATCCAGCCAGACCCTGATCTTGCCATTTCCTGCCCAGGGTCTGGCAAGATCTCTTGGCTAGCTGCCAACCCTTGTCCATTCATTTGTTCATTCATTCAGTCCGTCAGTATTTGTCAAGTGCCCCGCCCTCCGTCCTCACAGGGCTTACGGTGGATGTTACACTCGGGCGTTCTGTGAAGTCTTCCTGCTGGTGAAAGCCATCTTCTGCCTGGGTTGGAGCTGCCTTTGGCACGCGTTCCCTTGCTCAGGAAGGGGAGTATGGTGGCGTGGCTGAGCCTGGGGGCCCCCTCTCCAGCCTGTCTTCTTTCTGTCTTGGCAGGCAACATCGAAACAAACCATAACCTGCCACCATCCCACAAATCCCGAAACAACATCCTTCGGTGAGAACCCGGTGCGCGGGGTCGGGGCTCAGTGCGGGTGGAGCGTGCCAGCAGATAGTTGTGGCATTGGCCAGCTTTTCTTCTCTCTGGGTCCCCAGCACCAGCCTGGACCTCTATGCCAATGTCATCCACTGTAAGAGCCTGCCAGGAGTGGTGACCCGGCACAGGGACATAGATATCCTCATTGTCCGGGAAAACACAGAGGGCGAATACAGCAGCCTAGAACATGAGGTGGGTGAGGCCTGGGCTGTCCCCTTATCCCCTTGGGTCGTGGGGGCTGGGGATGAGCCTGGCGAGGGTCTGCAGTAAGGAAGGCCAGACCCAAAGAGAAACCTGTGCCAGAGGGTCTCTCCTCTCTGTCCCTGTCCCAGAGTGTGGCTGGAGTGGTGGAGAGCCTGAAGATCATCACCAAGGCCAAGTCCCTGCGCATTGCTGAATATGCCTTCAAACTGGCCCAGGAGAGTGGGCGCAAGAAAGTGACAGCTGTACACAAGGCCAACATCATGTATGCCCCACCCCTGCTGTGCTCCTGCCCGTTCTGCAAGCAGTTGTGAAACCGCTGAATTGCACACGCTCCTTGGGCCTGCTCTCAGGGACTTGGGGCCCAGAACACCGGCCGCCCACTAAGGGGCCGTGCTCAGGGCTCTGCCCTCGCCTATTCCCTAGATGCGGGTTTACCACAGTGCACACTTCGGGGAGGGAGAGTGGGGTTATGCCTGTCTTACAGACGGGGGACTGGTTAGAGGTTACAGCCCCGCTTCTGTGGCCATCTGCATGCCCCGTCCCTCCAGGGGACTACTAACAGTGGCCAAGCTGGTGTCTTATGCCCCCTCCTAGGAAACTGGGCGACGGGCTGTTCCTCCAGTGCTGCAAGGAAGTTGCGGCCCGCTACCCCCAGATCACCTTCGAGAATATGATCGTGGACAACACCACCATGCAGGTAGTTAGTCTGCTGGGCTCCCCGGCCGCCTGCCTCGGTCACCGTGGGCTGCCCGTGCTCAAGCTCCTGTCTGTCTCCTTGTCCTGCAGCTGGTGTCCCGGCCCCAGCAGTTCGATGTCATGGTGATGCCCAATCTCTATGGTAACATTGTCAACAATGTCTGCGCGGGACTGGTCGGGGGCCCTGGCCTCGTCGCTGGGGCCAACTATGGCCACGTGTACGCTGTGTTCGAGACGGTGAGTGGCGCCAGGGCTCCTGGACCCTTTGTGCCATATTGCTCGCGTATCATCCAGTTCACTGAAAGTGTAAGGATTCAGTGCTTTTAGGTTATTCAGAGTTGTGCAACCATCACCACTATCTCATTCCAGAATGTTATCATCCCCCCCAAAAGAAAACCCTGTACTTGTTAGTTGTCACTCCCGTGCCCCTCCTCCCAGCCCCTGACCACCACTCATCTGCTTTCTGTCCCTGTGGATTGGCCTCTTCTATTTTCTGTAAACGGAGGTGTTTTTTTTTTTTTTTTTTAGAATTTATTTATTTATTTTATTTTATTTATTTTTAAAGATTTTATTTACTTATTTGACAGAGAGACAGCGAGAGAGGGAACACAAGCAGGGGGCGCTGCAGTGGGAGAGGGAGAAGCAGGCTTCCTGCTGAGCAGGGACCCCGATGTGGGGCTTGATCCCAGGATCCTGGGATCATGACCTGAGCCCAAGGCAGACGCTTAACCAACTGAGCCACCCAGGCGCCCCTTATTTATTTATTTTAGAGAGAGAGTGTGAGCGCACGCTTGCGGGGGGAACAGAGGGAAAGGGAGACTCCACGCTGAGCATAGAGCACAACGGGGGGCTCCATCTCAGGATCCTGAGATCATGACCCGAACCAAAATCAAGAGTCAGACGCTTAACGGATTGAGCCACCCAGGCGTCCCTACAAATGGAGTCTTACACCACATGGGCTTTTATGATTAGCTTCTTTCCCTTGGCACAGTTTTGTTTGTTTTTTAACCCCAGCATAGTATTTTTAAGGCTTATCCACACTGTAGCACGGCTCAGAGCTTCGTTCCTTTTGATGGCTGAATAATATTTCATCATATGGAGAGACCACATTTTGTTGATCTATTGGTTAGTTTCTATTTTTAAGTCTTTTTTTTTTTTTTTTTTTTTAAAGGGACGCAAAATTTATGTAACGGGGTGAGACCACTTAAAGTGAGCAATTTAGGGGTATTAACAGCACGCACAGTATCGTGTAACCATCACTTCTGTCTAATTCCAGAGCATTTCTGGCACCCTGAAAGGGGACTCCGGCCACATTAGCAAGCACTCCCAATCCCGGCCCCCGCCCCTGGCACCCACTGATCTGCTTTCTGTCTCTGTGGATTTGCCTGTTCTGGGTGCTTCACACCAGTGGAATCACATACCCTACGTTCTTACCTTCACCACCACCTTTGTCTGGTCCCTTCTAGGCTACAAGGAACACGGGCAAGAGTATCGCCAATAAGAACATTGCCAACCCCACAGCCACGCTGCTGGCAAGTTGCATGATGCTCGACCACCTCAAGTAAGCCACTTCTTGATGCCCAGCTGTCAGCCCCCGGCCAGCCCCCAGGCCCCAAGGGCTTGAAAGCTGCTCTCCCTCCTTAGGCTCCATTCCTATGCCACGTCCATCCGGAAGGCCGTGTTGGCGTCCATGGACAACGAAAATGTGAGGCTCCTCTTCTCCCCTCCCCTGCCTTCCGCCCAACTCCCTCCTCGATTGGGACTTGAGCTGGTGTGTCACCTGAGGGGCTGGAGGTGGTGACCTGGTGCTTCCTGCTGCCCCCAAGGGGAAGGTGGGACCAGGGCGGGTAGGGCTTTCTGGGCCTTAGCTGGTGCCACTGCCCTCCTGCCGGCAGTTGCGGCCCCTGCGAGCCATGGGAGACCACGGGCGGGCCCCTGGCGTGTGCTCAAGCTGGCGCGTGTCCCGCAGATGCACACCCCAGACATCGGGGGCCAAGGCACTACATCGGAAGCCATCCAGGACATCATCCGCCACATCCGCATCATCAACGGCCGCGCCGTGGAGGCCTAGGCCGTCCCTGGGAGCGCCTCAGTGCACTCCCCCTGCCCGCTCCCCGCACGCCGGCCAGTTTGGGTGGGCAGCCCCAGAATAAATCAGCTTCTGTCCCGGCTCTCGGCCTCGGCCGGTGCGCTTCTGTCACTCCAGGATGCCAACGTTTCAGTTCACACTTTATTAAGAAAAGAAATACGCACACTTCCCACTCAGGGCATGTTGTGAGGGTTGGGGGCAGAACGAATTCTAAACGGTGGGCCTGGCTCCAGCATCTCTCTGCCCTGCCACGGGCTGTGAGGAAGCTGGCACCCAGTAGGGGGGAGGAGGGCAGCTCGTGCCGGGTGGCAGGAGGCGTCCCGCTTTCCCTGAAGGCACTGGGAGGGGCTTGAGGGTGAGCCAGGCTGGCCTCAAGCTGCACAAAGTGCCCGTGGGGCCTAGGGGTTGAGCCAAGGGTGCTGGAGGCAGTCGGCCGCGCTGGCCCGCTTTTCCGGGATGTATTCCATCATGGGCAGCAGGAAGGCGCTGAACTGCGTGGCCTGCTCCAGGGGCCACTCGTACTTCTCCATGAGCACCTCGTACAGGCCCCAGTGCTTGAGGTTGTGGATGTGCCGCAGCTCTCCTGGGGGCGGGTCACGGGCCGTGTGTTAGGCCCTGCCAGGAAGGCCTCTGGCTCTGGGAGGCAGTGCTCCCCCTGCTTTGGAACCTGTGGTCCCTGCCCTACCGTCTACATCCAGGTGAACTGAGCCTGTTCGGCCCTACCTCTCCGGTTGAAGAACTCTCGGGAATAGCGGCCTGAGAGGGCGAAGGCTGGGGGGATGTCTCCCAGAAGCTCCACAATGTGGGCGATGTGGTCTGTGGACAGAGAGGAGGCTGGGAGGCGGCTGGGCATCCGGGAGGCCCCGAGGCTGAGCCCAGGGCCGGCCTTCCCCTACCCTCATCGCGACTGTAGTCTTCTCCAGAGTGAGGCTCGAATAGGTAGTCGCCGGTGGCCAGCTCGAAGGCCTGGAAGGGGGGAGAGGGTGAGGCTGCCAGCCAGCGGGCCGGCCCGAGGCTGGAGCAGCTGGGGCATACCATGCACGCTGTGCTCCAGATGTCGGCCGGGGGCCCGTACTCCGCTCCAATCAGCACTTCCACGGCCCGGTACTGGCGAGTCTGGATGTCCTCGGTGAAGTGCTTGTGCTGGAGGCAAGGGGAGCCCTGGGGAGGAGCTGGGGCCCCAGCTGGCCCGCCCCCACCGGCCCCCACCATCTCCCACCTCCTCTGGGCCATGTACCCAAGGAGCTCAGTGGGGTTCGCTCTGAGCCTCAGGGTCCCCAGAGGTCCCGAGAGGGACCGGCCTCTTCCCAGTGGTCCCCGCCCCTTGCAATGGGGTCCAGTTCCGCTGACTGGATGGGACCGATGCTGGTCTGGGCTCAGTCCTGGGTCTGCGTCATGAGGCAGACCCTGGGGTCTGGTCGAGTGGCACTGCAGGCCCCATCGGGCTCCTCCGGAGCGGGCCTGCGGCCCTGCGGCCCTGCCCTCACAGCAGGGTGCCCAGCTCTGCTCTCCAGGCCAGCTCATACCACCCAGCAGGCGTTGCCCAGGTCTGCGATCTTGATCTTGATCTTGTCTGCATTTTGGGGCTCCAGGGGGTTCACCAGGAGGTTCGAGGCACCAAACGGTGCTGGAGAAGGAAGAGGTTGGGGAGAGACTGAGCTGGCCGGGCCCCACCCCCATCTGCCAACTCCCTGCCACCCTCCCACCAAGCCCTCCCGCAGGCGCTGCCCAACTTACTGCTGGGGGATAGGAGGCCCCCGGTCTCCCGCTGGTTGGAGGAGCCTGAGAGGATGGAGCATGAGGCCGGAGAGAAGAGGGAGCCCGAGAAGCCTGAGGTCTGGGAGCCTGGGCTGAGGCTGCGCTCGCCCGCGGCCGCCGGGGAGGAGGAGGCGGGGGAGGGGCCGGCCCTGGCCCCCCCGGGGTGGCAGCCGGAAGAGGAGGTGGAGCCGCTGCCCCCCTCTAGCCTCGAGCCAGCGTCTGGGGAGATGGGCAGAGGGGGTGTGTGAGCAGTCAGCCCCGGTGGCCTGCGCTTGCCGGGCGCGCGCTCCGGCCCCTCACCCTCAGCCTGGGCCGCCGCCTCCATGGCCTCCAGCCTCTGCAGGTCCCGCAGCCGCTCCTCCAGCAGCCGCTTCTGTTGCTTCCGTTTGCGCCGCATCTTCTTCCTCTTGTTTTTCGACAGCTTACCGGTCTGCCATCAGAGCCAGGGTCAGCCCCGGGTTCACGTCTCCCACCCCCTGACCAGCCCAAGCCTCTACCTGTGGCCTGCTCGCCTCACGGGGGCCAAGGCCAACGGGCCCCAGGGCTACTTTGTTTTTTTGATTTTAAAGATTTTATTTATTTGACAGAGAGAGACACAGCGAGAGAGGGAGCACAAGCAGGCGGAGCGGGAGAGGGAGAAGCAGGCTTCCCGCTGAGCAGGGAGCCCCATGCGGGCCTCGATCCCAGGACCCTGGGACCATGACCAGAGCCCCGAGCCAAAAGCAGATGCTCCACCTACGGAGCCACCCAGGCACTGCCCCCCCACCCCGGGCTACTTTGGATGAGTAAATGTGGTGCCACCCCGCTCCAGCCCCCCCCTTGGCACTAGCCCTTCACCTGCCTCCTGCCTCCCTCCCCCACTACGCTCCCCAAAGCTCGAGTTTGGGGAGGAGCTGATGGGCCTGCCTCTGGCTGGGCGCTGGCCTCCCCTCCTGGCCCTAGATGCAGTGTCCTTCCACTGAGGCAGCCACCAAGGGCATTTTAGGGCATGTGACCCACCCTGTGTATCACCTTCACCCCGGGGGGGGGCAGGAGGGCAGGGAGGTGGGGAGGGGGCGGGACCAGAGAGGCCGAGGAGGGAGCTCTGAGGAGATGGGGAGATGAGGCCCAGGAAAAGAGGGGCACCCCAACTTACCAAGACCTCCTGGGGGGCAGTGCTGACTGGGGGGGCAGGTGGGGCATTGGGGGGAGAGAAAGGAGCAGAGACTCAGGCAGGGGCTGAGGCCCACAGGCCCCACCCTGGACCCACACAGGCTCTTGCTACCTGTGGAGCGGGATGGGGGTGGTGCCCCTGACTGCTGCCACTCTGTGGCCTCGGTGGCCAGGCGCCTGATGTAGGCGTCACCCACACACAGCAGGATGTTCTCGGGCTTGATGTCTGTGTGGATGATCTTGCACTTGGTGTGGAGGTAGTCCAGGCCGTCCAGCACCTGGGGAGAGCCACCCCTGCACTTGAGCGGCCCTGTGCAGGCTGCCTCCCACCCTGCTCACGCAGAGCACGGGATGCTCACCTGCCTCACGATGCTCTTCACGCAGGGCACGGGCAGGCCCTGGTAGTTGGACTTGATGATCCACTTGAGGAGCTGGTGGCCCAGGACCTCCAGCACCATGCACACATCTGGGGCTCGGAGTGAAGGGCGGCCAGCAGACACACAGCTGGGGCGCAGGCGCCACCCACCCGAGGCTCCGGTGTCACTACAGTGTCCCTGTCCCTGTCCCTCTCCCATGTGCCAGTTGGGATGGTGACCTTCTGTGCTTATCCCTGAGACAGGGCACCGCCACAGAGGCGGCCCCTGCCGTGTGGGGGGTAAGTCAGCAATGCCCGTGGGTAACCAGTGTCCGCCTGGTCATCCACCCCCCTCCCCCTGCCACATAGACACAAACCCCCAAAGCGGTGGGCTAGTGTGTAGACTAGTGTCCCTGGGAGGGTAAGCCCCCGTCGTGCAGATCAGGAGACTGAGGCCCTAGCAGCTGGGACGGCAGCTGTTGCCACATGGCTCGGCTCATCGTGGGAAGGATACGGACTCCATTCACCCCTGAGATCCTGAAGTCGTCGATGAGCTGGACAATGGTCTCTCTCTTGGGGTCACTGGGGTCACTGTCTCGGACCTGGAGCAAAGGGGCCACGAATGGCTCCAACCTGCCCCGCACCAGCTGCTCCCTTCGGCACCCCCCAGGCACCTCTGGCCCTCCTCTCCCCCTCCCTGGCCTGCTCCTGCAGGTCCTCCGGGGCTCAGCCAGCTGGAGCCCGCCCCTGCGGGAACCCCGCCCTGCCCGGGAGCCGGGAGCCGGGAGGGAGGCGCCTCACACATTTCAGGAGCTTGATCTCATCCACGGCGGTCTCCGTGTAATGCCCCGCGCTCTTCACCACTTTCAGGGCCACGAAGCGCTTGCGCCTGCAACACCAAGGCCTGCATCGGCTGCCGCCTGGCCCGACTCATGGGGGCATCGCGGTGGCCCCACCCAAGCCCAGGGGTAGGCTCCTAGCCGACCCTGGGCCCTGGGTGGGGGGCTGGAGGGGGCGCTTACTGGATGTCCCAGCAGAGCCAGACGGTGGAGAAGTGGCCCCAGCCCAGCTTGCGCACCACGTGGTACCGCCCATTGAACAGGTCGCCGATCTTCACGGGGTAGTAGCCGCCTGGCGAAGGGAGCCCAGACGGCACGGTGAGCGGCGCGGTGGGTGGTGTTGCCTGCCTGGGTGTCCCCCCCCCCCCCCCCCCCCGCAGAGCCCAGCCCCGCCGGCCCCAGGGCCCACGTGGGCCGGCCTCAGCACCCTCCTCCTCCCCTGCCGCCCCTGTGTCCCTCGGCCGCCACCTGGCCGCCCACGCCCGAGGCCAGGCCTCACCCTTGCAGTAGTCCTTGGGGTCCTCCTGCTCCTCGTCATCGGAGCCCAGCAGCCCCTGCAGCATCCGCGGCGCCGGCGCGGCGGGGGCGAGTTCGGAGCCCGAGGACTCGGGCCCGCAGGAGGCCTGCGAGCTGCGGGTGGGGTGAGCGGGCAGTGAGCGGCCGCGGCGCCGGGCACCCCCCCCCCACGCGGGCGCCCAGGCCGAGCCCTACCTGCTGCTGCTGCCGCTGTCCCCGCCGCCGCCGCCACCCGCGCTGGCGCTCATCCCGGCCGCGCGGCCCGCAGCTCCCGCGCCCCAGGCGGCTGCTCCTGTGGGGCCCGGCTGCGGCCCGCGCATTTATAGCCTCGGCCGCTGATCTCACCCGCCTTTATAAATAGCCTCCCAGCTGCTCGGCTGTGGGCAAGGTATGCGGCGGGGAGGAGGCGGTGCGGCCACCGTGGCCCAGGAGAGCCTGGCCCCCAGGACCAGCCGCCCCCCCGCCCCCGCCCCACGGCTGGCATAGGGGGCCACGGTGGGGACGTGGCGCGACCCAGCCTCCACCCTAAGTCCCTGCACCAAGGGGGACCCCCGCACGGTCCCAAGGGGGGCCCTAGGACCAAGGGGGACACCCACGAGAAGATGCAGCAACCCAGTCCCTCGGCTCAACCCCCATGCCCCAGGGGTAGCAGAGGGGGCCCACTGAGTGGGGACGTGTCAGCGACCTGCTTCCCGGGCTGAGTCCCCACACTCCAGAGCTGGAGCCAGCTGAGGGGGGCAGTGGACAGCCTGGGCTTCATGTTGAGCCCCTCCCCGCCCCCCACCGCACATGCCCTACTGTACCAGGGACACTCTTGGAACATTCCCTGGCTTCCTGCTTGGCCCTTGTGGTAGCCTTTCCAAAGGTGACACTTCCCATTCCCATGGGTACCCCATTCCCCGCCCCCTCTCAGCCGGGTTCCCACTTCTCTTGAGGCTCATTGACCCCTTAGGCTGGAGCTCTCCTCTCTCTGAACATGGTGTCTGTCGCTGGGGATTCTGGCTGAATGAGTCAGGGGCATGAGCTGAAGGCAACTGGGTCCTCCCCCCGGAGGGGCCCGGACAGTGTCGAATCCTGGGAACCTGCCTGCTCAGGACTCTAGTGCTGACACTGTGTGGCCTCCCTCCCAGCTCCTTGTGGGAAGCACAGGGAACCATCCACCCTGGCCCTGTCCTCAGGGGTCCTCCTCTAGCTCTAACAGGCAGGCTGGTTGGTGACAGAGGGACTTCCGGGTCGGGCAGAGCCCTCTGGGGCCTGGGACTTTGGGGCCGCATCCAAGGGACCAGAAAGAGTCAACTCCCCCAGAAAGGGGTGGGTGGGTAAGCTTCCAGGATGGTGCAGAGCCTGGCTGGGGTGAGGCCTACAGCTGGATGGACGGGAGACCTCTTTGGCCACAGAGTGGCTGGGTGTGGGAGGGAGGCGGGAAGGCCTTGGGCAGCTAAGGGTCCTACCCGGAGCCCGTGGGCACTAGTGTGAGATTCCCATGGAGGCTGAGGGGCACTTTTGCTCTTTAGAAAGATCACTCTGGCTGCGACCAGGAGGGAATGGAGGGGGACATGTGTGGAGCTGGGAGTCCAGCTGGGGACTATCGGGGAGTCCGAAAGAAGCAGAGGGGGCTCGGCAGTGACTGTGGTTAGCCCAAGATGGGAGACACTTGGTCCTGTTGTCCCTGGGCCAGGAAAGAATTGGTAGGGAAGGGTGGGCATAGATGGGGGCGGGTGGGCCAGGGGAGGTGAGGGGAGAGGGGAGAGAGCATGGCCTGTGGGTGCCTGATGATCCCTCTTCCTCAGGCCGAGGTCACAGCCATGGGGCCAAGGGGAGGGCCAAGCAAGGGAGCACTGAGTAGACCCGCAGGGAAAGGCAGGGGCTGGGATTGGACTTTTTCTAAAAAGATGTTTTTCTATTTTATTTCCAGATGTGATTCTCCAGCAAGCAAATAAATACAGTGGGGGAGGTGAGGAGAAGAGGTGAGGACTACTATAAATTAGAAGGAAGCCCAGGTAGGGGAACAGCAGGGCGAAGGGCCGGTGGGTGGGAGGCGGTGGGGAGCCCCCTGGTGGGCACAACCCCCTTCCACTTTCCACCGGCCCCTCCTGTTGCTGGCTCCATCCAGGGGTCCTAAGGCACTGCGGTGGGAGGGCCTGCTTGCTCCTCTCCAGGCTGGCGGGCCTTGGGTATCCGCGGGGGCCCAAGCTCACAGGTCAGTCACCTTGTTCTCCACCAGGGCTGCTACCTGCTGCAGACGGCAGGCCAGCTGCATCTTCTGACCCACAGGGTCCTCCTCCAGGGCGCTGATGATCTGCCAGAGCAGAGGAGGGCGCCTCGCTTGAGGCCTCTGCCTTCTGCCCATTAGCCCAGGGCCCCCCAGCCCTGAGTCCATCTCAGCAGTGGCTTGGGGATCCGGCAGGGGCCACCCCAGGCCTCCCTGAGGCATCTGCACAGAAGTCACGCCTCTTCCCCAACCTGGGCCCTTCCTCCCCTCTGCCCAGATTGGCCTAGACACCTCCTTCCATCCCCAAGGAGATTCCTGGGGCCTCCCTCTGGGCTCTGGGGGCGTACCCCTCCCCCCTGGAGAACCCTGGGCCTCACCTGGTCATAATACCTGTGGATGTGGTTGTAGAGTTCTTGCAGAGCTTCCAGGCAGTGGGGAGCAGAGGTGTAGTTCTGGGGACCACACATGGAGGGGTGAGGCTCCAGCCTGGACCTTAAACCCCAACCCTCCCCCCTCTCCCCTGCACCCACCCAAAGGTGGAGGGGTGTGCCCCCTGCACCATGCCTCACCCCGGAGAGCTCGGCCAGAGCTGAGTTCATCTCCTGATAGCTGGCGGGAGAGCTCTGGCGGATGTCGGAGTAGTATCTGGCAGAGGAGACACAGTTAGGGCCGGGCGGCCGCCACCCCCCAGCCCTGATGCCCCAACACCTACCTCTCCACCATCTGCTTGTAGCGAGGGATCTCCCGGGCATAGAGCAGTTTGTTCACTGGGGAATCCTGCTCCGGGTAGGAGTGGGCCTGAGCGGGGAGGCGGGGGGGTGCGGCAGGGGGGAGCTCCGGCCCTGTCACCCTGAATGCACCCCCAGTGCCCCCTCACCCCAGCCTCCTGGCCCCCACTATGCGCCACCCCTCCCAGCCCCACTCAGGGCTCCTTGCTGAGCCTCCATGGCTTCCCCCGGGAGCCCTTCGTCCTCACCCCTTACCCTGCCCACTTTATGCTCGGAGACAGTGCAGGAGTCGATGAAGGTTTGGGCAATGACGGCGAGGATGGCGTCCACGTTGTCCGACACCCGCACGTCAAAGATGAGCCGTGGGTTCTTCAGGGCGTTCACCCAGAACCGCAACAGCAGGCTGGGGACACAGACCAGCCGTGGGCACCGTCGGCCCGGGCCCCAGGCCTGAGTTCCATAGGGAGCTGTCTTGCGGGTCCGTGTCAGAAATGCAGGGTGGATGCCACCAAGCTTGGATTCGTGGGCCGTGCCCTGCATGGGCTGGGGGCTAGCAGGCGACGTACCTGTTCGTCTTCCAGATGTGCAAGGTCTCCGGGTCCTCGATGCCATGCTTCTCGGCCAGCTCGTCCAGGAAGTCAAACAGGTACTTGACGGCAATGGGCACGGGCCTGTTCACGCTGAGAATGGCCTGGAAGGTGTCATCCACGAACTTCTGCAGCGTGCCCTGGAAGGCGGGGGTGGGGTGGGGTGGGGGTCTGTGTGGGAGGCAGGTATGGGCCAGGGCCGTGCTCTGGCCGGGGGTCAGGCCACCTCTCTAGCTCTCAGGACCACGCCCTCCCCCACGGCTCAGTCAGGGGCCCAGCCCCCCAGCCACACCGACCTTCATGGAGAGCAGGCGGGTGAGGTAGATCTCCGGAATCGCCTTGGCCCGCGCCCGCTCCCGCTCCCGCTCCCTCAGGCTGCTGCGACGCGCCTTCGCTCCCTCCGGCTCGTCGGAGGCTTTCACCAGGTGCCAGAGGCGGACCCCACCCTCCTCGGCATCCTCCAGCATGGGAATGTCTGAGGGCCCAGAAGTCTGGCCTCAGTCCTCCGCCCCGGTCCCCTATCCCACACCGCTGGCTGGGGACACCTGGCCGCGGGGCAGGGTGGCGGGCGCCGAGGAAGGCAGGGGCAAAGAGCTCAGCCCAACCCCCCATGGTCCCAGAGCTCCCCAACCAGGACGAGCTGCTGGCCTCGTCCGCCCCAGGTCCTTGGTCCCGCCTAGAGGTTGGGCTCGCCCCCTGGCAAGGTGTGGGGGACACCCAGGTGAGGCAGACAGCGTGCCCGGGACTCCTGCCTGCCCACTTCCAGCTCTGGGGCCAGAGGACTCACTCTCCCCCAAGGGGCAGTTCTGGGTCAGGCTCTGGGAGACGGCACCTCCGTTGTGCAGCTGGGGGATGAGCCCCACGGTGGCTCCATCCGGGACCTGGCGGGAAGGTGAGTGGAGGCTGGGCTCCTTCCCTGGCTGACTCAGAGGTGGGGGCCCGCCCCCCAGCCCCTGTCCGCCTGGCACCTTGTAGTGCTGTAGGGTGTTGAGTCGTTTCCAGTGGTTCTGGGTCACCGAGGTCAGGTCCTCATCTGACAGGGTTAGGTGGCCAGCAAGGCCCGAGCGCCACTCTGGGGGCACCCAGTGAAGCCCATTAGCCTGCAGCCTGTTCCCTGAGTCTGCACCGGCTGTGCATTCAAGGTGACAAGGTCGGAGCCCCCCCACCCCCAACCATGTGGAGCAGCGCAGGGCTGAGCATCTCCGGGTGGGGACAGCCCCGTGCAGGGACGGGTGGTTGGTTCTCTCACCGAGATCTAGGGCGTGCACCGAGGGCCTCTGGGAGAAGGGGGTGCCCTTGTAGACTTGGTCCAACACCTTCTCTTTGACCTGGGTGATAGTGTCTGTGTCGAGCACCCGCGCGGGCACGCGCTGCGCAGCGCTGCTCCCCGCCGCCCCGCCGGCCCTGGGGCCCACCAGCACCATCAGCGTCAGGGGCCGGAACTCCACGTCCTCCCGAAGCAGGCGGCTGTCGTTCAGGGTCCGTTTTGCCTTGCCGGTCACGGCGTCCACGGGGCCCTTGTCCACCTGGTACTGAATGGCCCGGAGGAGCACGTACAGCGGCTCACCAGCCACCTCCTGCGGCGTCCGCGCCGCGGGCGCGAGGGGACAGGGAGGGGCGGTCAGCTGCGCGCGGAGGGAGGACGAGAACAGCCGGCCTCGGCCTCACCCCCAGCCCTGCCCGATCCCACGCCTCATGCCCCGGGGGGAATGTGGGCCCGGGTCGGTGAGGCCCCAGGCAGCAGCCTTGAAATGAGGCAAGGGGAGAAGGCGTCAGCCAGGGTGCCCCTCACCTTCAGAAAGGCATAGAGACAGATGGACAGCCAGTTGGTCAGCAGCTTCTCCACCATGGTCTCTGTCCTGCAGGGAGCAGGCCCCAGGT